AGTGTAGAGATGAATGAGAAAGATTGTAATCAGAGTGTTCGTTTGAAAAACTCAGAAGTTTTGGCTAATTTGGATGCCAAACTTGGACATTTGAACATTCACCAAAAAGAACAAGTTAAAAACTTGATGAATGAGTATCATCAAATCTTTTCGGATGTTCCAAAGAAAACTAATGCAGCTTGTCATGATGTCAGAGTGAGTGACGTTCTGCCTATCAAACAACATCCGTACCGTCTGAATCCAATAAAATTGCAGTACCTAAGAAGGGAAGTGCAGTACATGTTGGACAATGACATTGTTGAACCTAGTAAAAGTGATTGGAGCTCACCATGTATTCTTGTACCAAAACAGGACGGTTCGTACCGATTATGTACAGACTATAGAAAGGTGAATTCTGTTACCAAAACTGATTCATTTCCAATACCTAGAATCGATGACTGTATTGACCGCATTGGAAACGCCAAATTTGTCAGTAAATTTGACCTGTTGAAAGGCTACTGGCAAGTACCGTTAACAGAAAGAGCAAAAGAAATATCTGCTTTTGCTACACCAGATGGACTTTACCAGTATAAAGTAATGCCTTTGGGCATGAAAAACGCACCGGCTACATTCCAAAGGATGATTCACTCCCTCCTTCAAGACCTCGAGGGATGCGAGGCCTACATTGATGATGTCGTCATATACAGCGACACATGGGACGAACATCTCCGAATCATGCGTGCTTTATTTGACATTTTAGCTAAAGCAAACTTAACTGTGAACCTTGAGAAGAGCGAATTTTGTCATGCTTATGTAGAGTATTTAGGTCATAGAGTAGGTCAAGGTTATGTTACACCCATTATGGCTAAAGTGGAAGCTATTGCAAAGTTCCCGATTCCTACAAACAAGAAAGAGTTAATGAGGTTTTTGGGCATGGCTGGGTTTTACAGAAAATTTTGTCCAAATTTTTCCTCAGTTGTAAGTCCACTTACAAATCTTTTACAAAAGAGGGTTAACTTTGAATGGACAAAGGACTGTGAAAAATCATTTCATAAAATCAAATCTGTCCTTATGAGCAACCCAGTTCTGTCAACTCCAGATTTTTCTAAGCAGTTCAAGCTTACTGTTGATGCTAGTGATGTTGGAATCGGGGCAGCTTTGTTTCAAGAACATAGTGATAAGGTAGATAGAGTTGTTTCTTATTTTTCAAAGAAACTTACAAAATATCAACAAAAGTATTCCACCATTGAAAAGGAATGCCTTGCTTTGTTGTTAGCCTTACAGCATTTTGATGTTTATCTGAATGTTACTTTGCATCCAATTCTTGTATATACGGATCACAACCCACTGACATTTTTGCATAAATTGTCAAACAAGAATCAAAGACTGACTAGATGGAGTTTGTTGTTACAAGAATACAACATAACAATTAAGCATATCAAAGGCAAAGACAATGTTATTGCAGATGCCTTGTGCAGAGTATCGTGAACATATATGATTTTGTATTAATGTACATATATTTCATTTTAACAATATAAGTTTTCATTGACATTCAAACTTTTTAAGGGGGGAGGTGTTGTGAGGTGTGTTGTATTTCTATTATTTCATCATGTATATTATTAGTAACATTAAGTTTCTTGAACATTCCAGAGTGGTCAACATTTTTTCTAGAACATTCCTGAACTTTGTGTATGTCCAGAACTTTCCAGTAATATCATGTACTTACAATTTCTAGAATATTCTAGATTTATAGTACTGTATAAATACCCTGTCAATTCGATGCATATATATACTCTTGTCGTATGAGCACCATTGAGTTACAACTGGGATATATTTTCACTGGGACATTGTGTGCAGCAACGGACACTCTGATGTATGTATTTTTAGATTTTTGCTAAGTTTGTACTTAATGATTTGTATATTACTGTAAATAAATTATTGTTAAGTTTAAACTGTGTGATTGATCTTTGCTGGCATTTAGGGTTATTCTGACCCAGAACAATGCATATGATAACAAAGCATAGCATCGAACACTTCATATCTCATTGAGGTGAACAGTTTATCATGTGTAAACAAAACGTTCAAACTCGTGCCATCCATTCAATATTTTCATCGTTCAGTGCTATCAGTACCGATAATTAAACTAACACGCATATAAGATAAATGTGAAGACTGAATTACAACCTAAGTAGCTGTAGTAACCATATATACAATGTATGAGGCCAGTGACAACTTCCTGTTATAGAAGTCTCATTAAAAGTAAGAGTTTGAAATGATTGACACATCTTTTCTATCTCTTTTCTTTGAAAAGGTAAATCAAAACATATATAATAACTAGATAAAAATCTCGTTCTGTTGCAAACGCAAATGCAAAATGTTTTAGTCTGTAGGATTTGAATAGTAAAAAAAAATTCTCATATAAAAAAGATGATAACGGTAGGGTGAAACTCTTGAAATCCCCTGCGAAATTCTTATCAATTTCATCGGATATAAAAAGAAAAGATGATACAAACAAAGCAAAGGATGCTTTGATTGTATAGTTTTTTGTCAATTTTTTGTTGCGCTGCAAATTAATGAGTTTTCGCACCGTTATCGAAATATCGTGGGTTTACACAATCGCCAAAACCTAAGTCGATAAAAATAGGTAGCACATTTTTCTTCGCCAGGCTTTCAGCAATTTGAATTAGAAATAGGGAGATAGGTTCCAATGAGATGTTAAGAATCAGGACCCCGTGTCATGGTATGCATTGGCACTAAAAGGATCCCTCGCTGTTTCATAGCCCTAAATGACCAGGATAAATAAAACCTTGCAACCCTTTAACTGTATAAGACATCTCATAATTAGTGCATGATAAAATCTCGTATTGGATGTACAACAAGTCAACATACATGTACAATCAACAACTCGGTGAATAAATCATATTTAACTGACTCTATTTGTCGAAGCATAGCCAACAAACTTTTAAAATGTTACCATTCGAGAAAAGATCCTTTTCTGTTCTTTTACACTTAAACCCTCCATGGATGTTTTCAAAAGTATATCTTTGATCTGTTATCAATTTTGTCCTTTCATTTAATGGGTTATTTTGACAAAATTATAAATGTATATGCTTTGCCTCGTACATGTACATAACGTCTTTGTAAATAAATTATTGTGTTCGAACTGTGCTTGTATTTCCCATGCCTAAACAATGGAAATCCAAGATATTATATTTTTGAAATAAATGAGATGCACTCAAAAATTGCCAAAAAAGTATTTCCATCCAATTATTTCTAATTTTTATGATTTAATATCCTTGAAAATTCAAGTCCCCAACCAAATCCTTTCCAAGGGGTCTCGGCGTCATTCATGTTTCTGTAATTCATTTGAAACACTTTTTTCAAAAGCTTTTTAAAGTACGTCATTTGATTATAAATTCACTGAATAGTCCTTCTCAAATATACAAACCATGTACACCCTCCACACACACACAGGGGGATCTTTTTTGAAGGGTATCAGTGCATACTAAATGTTAAAATATTGTTTTTCATGCACGCACTACTGTTGCATTTATTACGGCATATATATTTCTTAAGAAATGCTAAATTTATCAATTTAATCACCCGTGTTCATGTACACTGTATAATCATACTTTCAACGATGTATGTTGTTTAATTTTTTATGCCTCCGTTATCGAAGATTAGGGGAATATTGTTTTTGCACCGAACCCGCGCGTCAGTCCGTTTGTCTAACTGTCTGTTTTATGCAAAAGTATTATCCCACAAAAAAACTTTGTTGAATCAAGCATCAACTTCCCTTACTTATGCAGCAATATACCTTCATCACCTGCATACGGAGTATTTATATCTCAGTTGATTCGATCTGCAAGAGCATGCTCTACGTTTGAACAATTTCTTAAACGAGGTAAATTATTGACAAGCAAGTTGATGAAACAAGAATATCAACAGTCTCGTTTAAAGTCATCATTTCGTAAATTCTATGGTCGATACAATGACCTTGTCAGCAAATACAATTTATCATTGAATGAAATGCTGACTGACGTTTTTCATACCAATTGTTAGTCCATTATTTATACACTGAATTGACCACGGAATTTTTTCCAGTATTTCCTGATTATGACAACGATCACACGGCGGGTGTGACCGGTCGGCAGGGGATGCTCACTCCTCCATGGCACCTGATCCCACCTCTGATGTTTCGGAGGTCCGTGTTTGCTCTGCTCTTATTTTGTATATTTGTTTAATGGACGTTGAGATTGAATACTGTTCGTTATTTCCATATCCTTCTTCCATCTTTCACAGGTGGGTTCCTTGTAACTAGACTTCTCCTTAAATACAAAAACAATTGATTACTTTGGGGCAGTGAGGACATGGGATTTTTTTTTTCACACACGAATTCATTGTGACAAGACTTTTCCTTAAAAACAAAAGCAATTCATTACTTTGGGGCAGTGAGGATATGGGGTTTCTTATTTCACACGCGAATTCATTGTGACAAGACTTTTCCTAAGAAGTTGTAAATGTCTCTTCCAAAACTAGTTAAAGCTACATTATTACAATTTAATATTTTCCTGGTCGTTTATCTGTAGATCAATGCACAAACGATGAAAATAGAGAGGTTCAGAAATTTGTTTTAAACTGTTTGAATCTTTCTTATATAGATACATTAATGACATACAAAGCTCTATTTATGACCACATTATGATAACTAAATTGACATGGATTGCGTTTTCATTTACAAAGGGAGCTAGACCCACGTAAATTTGAATTATTACCTGATTGATTGTCACATTAAAGTCTATGCTCGTAAATTGTTATCCTGGCTTTTATACTTTGAGGCTACAGAAATTAGAAATGAAATAGATACGATACCTTTATATGTGAAAGTAAAGTACATTTTGACTTTGTCGAAAATATTCTGAATGAGAAAATAAAAATGGTTTGTTATTATTTTAGATCCTGTAAAACAGGACATTTGAAAAATAATAAATTGCTGAATTATAATTTCAGATTGTGAATAAGTCTTCTAGAAACCAAATGGCTTCTGGACCAGACCCTGGCGGCCGTTCTAGGTTTGCTAAACTCGGAATGGCAATAAACGAAGAATTGACCCAGGCTTGTAGAGATGTCTTAGAAATGGAAGTACCTCCTGGTCTTGTCTACAACAAAGTGAAAACATCCTCAATTTATAAAAACATACGCCCCGATCAAGAAATTCGTCTTATAGGCGCCAAAACAGATGGTTATAAAGAATTTGATATTACATTGTTATATACATTGATACGAAACGTATGTACAAAGATTCCACGTCCAACAAAAGGTTGGGGTGGAAACACGATGCCGTCTGTAGGAGAAATAACGATTGGCGATGACGTTGAGAGGATACGATTGATAAGAAACAGCATGTTTGGACACATAAACTCGGCTTCTACCTCACAGTCAGAGTTTGATGACACGTGGTCAGTCATAACTGATATCTGTCAAAGACTGCAAACGTACACAAACAAAGACTATTTATCTGCACTTAGTATAATTCAAAGACACGTCTTAGAAGAGGAAAATGAAAAGGCTATAATTGAAAAACTTGAAGCCGATTATAAAATTAATACAGATCTTATGGAAAAGATGTCTTCTTTGGAATCACTTTTGCAAGGTATAAATTCCAAATCCTAATCCTAGAAGCAAAAAAACAAATATGCTGTGTATATGAGCAAGGGGAAACAGTGATTGTTAATTTTTCCGCAAATAGAAATACACCTCTTTTGTAGTTTTTAATCATAGATAATTTTACATATTTTACGTTCACAGTAATTCTCTAAGGTTGCATTAAGTAGTTATTACCCCATATTGATATGGTTGTTGTAGCCACAATTTTGTTTTTACCCTTACAAAGAGCACACGTTTGGTGTGACCAGTCGACAATGGAAGGATTCTCATTCCCCTTTCCACCTAGTGTAACTGATTTTTTCTTTCAGATTTGTTGATCAGATTTTGCCATATGTGCAATCCGTTGTTGAATCATGTTGTTAGAATGACTCTGATATGCTGGTCACAATTCTATTAATTAGGAAATATGTTTTTTTATTATTATTAAGCTTGAGGGAGCAGACTGGGGTTTTATTTTGCGAAAACTACAATTTTACAAGCAAAGTATACAAAAACCGGCTTTTTGCTAAAATTACAATATGTGATTAGCATTATTGTGATGTGAAAGAAACACAAAACTTTACCACTGATCTCCAAAATAACAAAATAAGCAAAATTTCCTGTTTTTATGGAATAATACAAAATATGATAAATACAATTTATCTCATAAAATTGGAAGATAATTGTAAGCTTTTGAAATTCTTTGCGTCTAATTTCAAGAGCTTATTGTGTATACAATTGCTTTTATAACATTTTTATAACAAGATACTTTAAAATAATTACGCTTCATTTATTATTTTGCTCGAAGCATTGCACAATGGAAAACCCATTCGACCCCTTTACAATAAAGGAATACAGACTGACTTCGGATACGTGGAAGCTAGGACTCATGACCAGAAGCTATAATGCTATTTTATTCACCATCATCTTGCAAGTACTTTTCCCGTTAATGTGAAAGACATTGAATTTTTTTAGGACTACCAATAGTAGATGAGATTCTCAAAGACTGGCGAGAAGAGAACATTGCTTTTATTCCTACGAACGCAGTTAGGACCGTCGAGGAAAAGCTTAAAAGTCATAACATAGTCATAGTGATCGGAAATTCTGGATCTGGTAAATCTGCGATTATTCAGCATATTGCACTCAAGCATAAGGATCAGGGCAGTAATGTTATACCAGTGGATGAAGTAAGAGAAATAAAAGAGAAATATTCGTATTCGGCAGAAAATGAGACCCTTTTTGTATTCAATGATCCTTTAGGTAAAGAATCTTTAGATGAGATATTGTATACCTTATGGAAAAATTATCAAAAAACGGTAGAGATTTGCTTGAAGAAGGTCAAATTATTGGTGTCCTGTAGAAGATGCGTTTTCTATGACAAGAGAGTGAAGGGCATTTTGTTCGACGAATCCACCATAGTAGAAATTGACAACGAGGAAAATCGACTGATAGATGTAGAGAAACGAGCAATCCTCAATCAATACACACAGAATCTAGACCTTTCTGAGGATATTGTTTTTGAAATAATCAAAACAGAAGCATATTTCCCGTTGCTTTGTAAGCTTTTTTCTAGGTCAAATTACAAGGAAAATTGTCTTGACTTCTTCAAATCTCCGAAGAGGTTCATTAAAGAAGAAATTGAAATTTGGAAAAGAAAATACAAGAAGAAATTCTGTGCTCTTATTTTAGTTGTAGCATTTAAAAACAATCTAAAAGTAGAAGCAATTGTTAGGAATGATGATTCTAAGAAGAAATATAAAGAAATTTTAGGAATGTGTGAATTACCAGAAAACACAAATGTCTCGGTCTTCCGCAGTACTCTCCAAGAACTTACAGGATCCTATGTCAAGTGTGTCGGACATGTTTTCCAATTCCTTCACGACTTTATTATGGAGATAACGACTCTGGTGTTTGGTGTTGATTGTCCACAAGAGACAATACAGTACGCAGACAGTGGTTTTCTGAGACGACGGGTGAGGATAGAAGACGACACAGAAGAGGAAGATCGCGACCCCTTTACTGTTTACCTTCCTGAAGAGTACATTGGTGATCTTGTGGACAGGTTTATTATTGACATGCAAACAGAACACCTTATAGATGTTGTTCTTAACCAATGTTTAAGAAATGAAAGTGTGATTCAAGAATTTAAGGGCAATGTCACTTCATTAGAAACTCTGCCAAACATTCTTTTAGGCATCAAATTTTCAATAGATAAATCAGAGTTAAGAACAAAACAAATGAATGATTCTCATGTATCAAGACTTTTTTTTCTTAATTGGAGAGGTGAAGTATGTCCTTTAATTGGATTTATAGCATTTTGCCATGATGAAATTTCTCTATTCTTTATGAGAAACATAGAGAAAAAAGCATTGCATGATCTTAATGTATTTTCTGCCGTGTGTGCTAATGGAGGATTAAAGTTATTAGATAGTCTGAGCCATGAATGCAAAGAAACGGCTATTAATGAAATTTGGGGGTTATTTTATCCAATCCACATTGCTTCTGTTTTTCATAACTATGAGATTATTCCAGAATTAATCAGATTTGGTGCTAATGTAAATATGTTAAGTGCTGGAGATATTTGGACTCCGTTAATTTTGGCAGCGGGGAATGATGAAGAACATTTAAGAGAGGCTGGAAAGGAGACAGAAGATGGAGAAAGACGTAATAAAACCATTTCTTGCTTATTGAAAAATGGCGCCAAAATCAATTTCTGTAGCGACGACGGAAAACATCCCTTGTGGATAGCTTGTCAAAAGGGATATACCAGCACGGTTCAAATATTACTGAACCACGGTGCCGACATCAATCTATGGGATATGAACAAAGTCAGTCCTCTATGGATAGCTTGTCAAAATGGACATGACAGCACGATACAAGTATTACTAAGCAGCGGCTCAGATATCGATTTATGTGATGAAAATGAAATAAGTCCTCTTCATATAGCTTGTGAAAATGGACATGATAGCACTGCACAATTGTTACTGAACAACGGTGCCAAAGTTAATTTTTGCTTTGAGAATGGGGACATTTCCCTTCATATACCTTGTAAAAATGGACATGATCGCACGGTACAACTGTTACTGAACAATGGTGCCAATGTCAATTCATGCATTGAAAATGGAGCGAGTCCTCTTCATATAGCTTGTCAAAATGGACATAATAGCACGGTTCAGCTGTTACTGAAAAATGGTGCAGACATCAATTTGTGTAAGCAGAATGGAGCCAGTCCTCTTCATGTAGCTTGCCAAAATGGACATAATAGCACGGTTCAACTGTTATTGAACAACAGTGCAGACATCAATTTATGTAAACAGAATGGATCCAGTCCTCTTAATAGAGCTTGTAAAAATGGACATGGTAGCACGGTACAAATGTTATTGAACAACGGTGCCAATATCAATTTATGTAAGCAGAACGGAGCCAGTTCTCTTCATATAGCTTGTCAAAATGGACATGATAGCACGGTTCAACTGTTACTGAAAAATGGTGCAGACATCAATTTATGTAAGCAGAATGGAGCCAGTCCTCTTTATAAAGCTTGTAAAAATGGACATGATAGCACGGTTCAACTGTTATTAAACAACGGTGCAGACATCAATTTATGTAAACACAATGGATCCAGTCCTATTAATATAGCTTGTGAAAATGAACATGAAAGCACGGTACAAATGCTACTGAAAAAAGGTGCCAATATCAATCTATGTGACCAAATTGGAGTCAGTCCTCTGTGGAGAGCTTGTAAATATGGACACAATAGCATGATACAGCTGTTATTGAACAACGGTGCCGACATCAATTCATGCACTAGTAATAGAGAGAGTCATCTTTATAAAGCTTGTCAATACGGATATAATAGTGTGATACAAATATTACTAAACAATGGTGCCAATGTCAATTTATGTAATGTGGATGGGGTTAGTCCACTATCAATAGCTTGTCAAGTACGACTGTTATCTAGCGATGATTGGGACAGTCTTCCGCCGCAGTTTCAGAATGAACTTGACCACAGTGTCGAATTATTACTAAAGAATGGCGCCTATGTCAATTTGTGTGACGAAGATGGTGTCAGTCCCTTGTGGAAAGCTTGTAAATATGGAAACGATGGCATGGTACATCTGTTACTGAAGAACGGGGCAAACATCAATTTATGTAACACGAATGGAGTCAGTCCTCTTTATGCAGCTTGTGAAAATGGACATAATAGCACGGTGAAACTGTTACTGAATGATGGCGCCAATATCAATTTATGTGATGCATATGATGTCAGTCCTCTATGGAAAGCTTCTAAATATGGACATGATAGCACGGTACAAATGTTACTAAACAAAGGTGCAGACATCAATTTTTGTAAGAAGAATGGAGTCAGTCCTCTTTATAAAGCTTGTAAAAATGGACATGATAGCACTATGCAACTGTTACTTAATAATGGCGCCAATATCAATTTATGCAACAAGAATGGAGCCAGTCCTCTTTATGTAGCTTGCGAAAATGGACATGATAGCATCGTTAAACTCTTATTAAACAATGGTGCAGACATCAATTTATGTGCTGAAGATGAATCCAGTCCTTTATGGATAGCTTGTATACATGAACGTGACAGCATTTTCAAGCTTTTAATGAATAATGGCGCTAAACTCCTATTAAACAATGGCATTGAAATTAATCTATGCGATAAAAACGGAGACAATCCTTTACACAAAGCCTGTCAAAGTGGCCAGGATAGAACAGTTCAATTGTTACTGAAGAACGGTGCAAATGTGAATTTATGTGATAAAGACGGTAGCAGTCCTATTTATATAGCTTGTCAGGAGGGACATGAAATGATAGTCCAACTCTTACTACACAATGGCGCTGATATTAATTTATGTAATAATGATGGAAATAGTCCTCTGTATATTGCCTGCCTAAATAGACATTTATTGAACAGTCGTGCGCAGTTTTTACTGAACAACAGCGCAGAAATCAAATTATTTGATGAAAGTTCTCCCTTCAAAGCCTGTCACAATGGTCATGAGAGCATAATCCAGCTATTAATTAACAATGGAGCTGATATAAATCTATGCAATAAAAGAAATTGCAGTTCTCTACATGCAGCTTGTGAAAATGGACATGATAGCACAGTTAAAATGTTACTGGTAAACGGCGCTAGAATTAATCATTGTGATATTGATGGAGAATGCTCTCTCTACAAAGCCTGTCAAAGAGGGCATAAAATCATAATTCAGTCATTAATGAACAGTGGAGCTGATGTAAATTTATGCAATAAAAGCAAAAGCAGTCCCCTTCATATTGCATGTGAGAACGGATACAACAGCATAGTCCAATTGTTACTGAAGAAAGATGCTGAAATTAATTTATGTGATAATGATGGAGAAAGTCCTCTCTTCAAAGCCTGTCGAAAAGGAAATGATATCATAGTTCACTTGCTCCTACGCAGTGAGGCTAATGTAAATTTATGCAATAAACACAATTATAGTCCTCTCCATATTGCTTGCCAATATGGACATAACATTATTGTGCAACTGTTGCTGAGCATTGGCGCCAACCCCACTTCATGTGATGATGACGGAGTCAGTTCTCTCTGGATTGCTTGTAAAAACTTACACAGAATTACGATTCACTTGTTATTAGAAAAAGGTGCTGATGTAAATTTATGCAATAAAGGCAAATGCAGCCCGCTGTTCCTGGCATGTTTCAATGGTCATGACAGCATGGTTAAACTTTTACTCAAAAAAGGAGCCGACATCAATTTATGTGACGACGAGGGAACCAGTCCTCTCTACATTGCCTGTGAAAATGGACATTACAGCACGGTCAAAATTTTATTAATGAATGATGCTTGTGTCAATTTATGCAAAAAAGACAATAAGAGTCCACGGTACATAACATACTTATATGGGCATGACAGTATCGCTGAACTTTTACAACAATATGGTGCTGAAATTATATTCTGACGGTGGAATCAGTACCTCCAATACTTAAAATATGGAGCAAGAAAACTTTAACTATAGCTAGCAAAGATGAGCATGATGCTATCACAAAGAATTTAACGCATTTATGTAAACAAAAATTTTACATGAGGAGAAGCAAATACTTGCTGTAGCCTTCAGATCAATATTCAGATATATTGACGTTGTATCATCATTTGCCTTCATCCATATGTCGACTTCCTTTATCTTAGTGAATTTGAAATAGACATCACAGAATCTGCCACTTCTGTTTCATATTGGATGTTTCGTGAAATTCTTTTGTCGTTATCATGCTTTTTTGGCAAATATAACCTTTCATCGGGTCTTATTTTGGCATACATATTTTATTCCAGTTGATGGGCTTTTGACTTTTGTTTTGTACTTACTAGTATTTTTTACCAAAGGAGCGTTACCTATATTTATCTGATCAATACATGAGCGAGAGTGACCGATCAAAAGGGGATATTTACTGATCTTTGGCATCTGATTCCACCATTGGAGTTCTTGGGGTTTGTGTTTTATGTCCTATATACAGATATTTATTGTTGACAAAAATTTTGTAGATAAATGATTTTTTTTTTATAATTTATTTTGTTTCTCTTGATTACTGTTAATCGCTAAATTATCTTTGACCACTTATTTCCACGAGATGGATACTTTGTATTTTAAAGCGAGATAGACGCAAAAATAAAATTCTCTTAAATAAAAAAGCAATTTAAACTAATTCATTAAGTTTACTTACACTAAAATGTCATTGAGCTGTCTTTTAATTGTACAACTTTTATTTATGTAAAAAGTATTTAAAGGATTTACTAAAAGTTCAGTCTCTTGAAATTTGTTATTTCAAGAGAACAAACTCTTGGGGTCACATAAACCTCTTGTATTACTGGCAGCAATAAATCTGTTATTTGATATAGATTAATGAAATTGTTCTGCATTTCAGAAGGAATTATTTTGCTATGTGGGATTGTTTTTATTATTCATTGAATGTAAATGAGGACTTTAGATGACTAGAAAAGATAGTTGATGGGTCTTTACAGCACGCTCTTATATACTGTGGATTCATCAAAATTCGTTGGAGCAAATTTTTTGTCGATTGTATAAAAATTATAGGTAAGGGGGGTTAAATTTCACGTATTGCCTAATGTATACACATCTTAAGAGATGTGTGCATTAAGCTCCTGTAGATCAATTCGTGGATGAAGCTACACATGAACGCAAAAAATCTTCGAAATAAAATATTACATAACAAAAACATTTTTTTGTAAATACATGTCAAGGGCTTTTGTCTTTGTCTTTGTTTCCTTTTATATAATAGCACGAGTTGCAATTAAATTTAAAATTTTAAAACTATGCAATAAATGTAGCATAAGTTATCGTGAAATATACAAATTTTGTTTTTGTTTGATACTGTATTATGTAATTATATTTTCAAGGTCGTATTTTATGCAGTTTTATTTTATATATTTATGTGAGATATAATATATCATTAAATATTTACAATGTCTTTGTCTAAAATATAATTACAAATTGTAAGTGTACTTTGTTTCCCAATCAATGTCTTGGCGCAATTCAAAGAAAAAATGTGCAGGGCGGGACAAACAGCTAGACAGCAGGGCTTGGAGCACGTAGATTTGCAAAATCTAAGCACGTAAATATAAAATATAAATGACAGATTTTTCAATTTCATGACGATGATCAATCAATTGGCTTGCGTGAGTTTATCCGTACGTCTAGGGTTCAAATCTCACCGCGGGAGACCATTCTTTCGGAAGAGATTTTATAAACCGAGATCCCTGGTCCCAGTAGGTGTTGCCACAAAAAAGATCCCTCACTGCTCAATAACCTAAGTGCCAAATATAGGATAACATTTGCTTCTCTCCACCGACAAGATCATGAAGCTGTGACGTCTCCGGGCATTTGCTAGAAAATTTCTCGAGAGGAACGTTTTAAACATACAGAGAAACAAACAAACATACCGAGGCAGAATCTACTGAAACCAGTGCTGGATATGGGTATTGGGTAGTAAGATACTGTACCTCTGTAGAGCCCCGTTCACTGAACAGAAGAAAACGACGACCATGGAAGGAAACAAAGGAATGGATTTACCTCCTCTTATCCTCAGCGGGAAAATGAAAGTCCTAAAATAAGGATAATTTATTTTATCAAACAATTGAACGATTATGCACGAAGCTCAGGTTTTCCTAGTTGTACAAGGACCTTGGACACCATAAAAACATCCCCCTGGGACATGTACACGTGATATAAAATATGAAGAAACGACTAACACATCCCTTGGATAATTAAATGTTTTATTGTCCCTTTGCCTTTTTTGGAAAAATAAATAATAAAATAATTTTTTTAAAAAAAGCCTTTAAATCCAGAAGACTTCTTGATATTTGCTTGATCTATGTACATGTATATATGTCTGTCGTAGTGACGTGCATTGCAGTAAAATTATTTCAAAAGTTTTCAATATAAAAAATTTGGGAAAATAGTTCTCTTGAATAAGCTTCAATTTCCTTTTATTTTGATTTTTTTTTAACCATAAACAACAGCCAGACCCAAAAATGTCATTAAAAAAAACATAAAAAGGACATAAATCCCACCTCTGAAAGTAGTGTAACAGAAAGCATCAAATCAAAATCATGTTATTGCAATGAATATTCACTAATTCATCAGAGCGCCACCTTGAGAGTATTGTATGCGGTACAACAAAGGACGGTAACTCTTGTAAGAGCCAGGCGAGCTTTGCAGGCAGCAAGCATCCCCATCCGGGACGGGTGTACCTGCTGTAGGGGGCCGTGGTGAACTGAAGCATGACTTAATTAGAAATTCCTCACAAAACCATCAGACCGGAAACAAATCTAAGCGAATCGGGGGCTGAAAACACGCGGTCAACTTGTTCTAATATTATGTTCATTTTACTTCTTTTATTTTTTTGTCTTTAAAAATAGAGGAAAACAATAACACTAAATTTGGAAACTAAAGATTCGTTTAACAAAGGATTACTGCATTTCATGATTTACGTGGTGTGCGAGTCGCATTTTATAAGATTTTTAAAATAAATGATCATGACGTCATTCTTCCTCCTGCTTCCCGATTGTTTATTCTGAGATAAGAACCTGTTTGATTCGGCCAGTGAATCACGATGTCATTTTATAAAGTGCTACAACTATAAATAAAAACTCGATAGAAATCTGGTGTGTTTGTTTTGGTTCTTACTTTCTATCATGAATCATGAGTCTAAATTTTGCACCTCCGAGTTACAGGATATTAGTCTTTGCTTTGTTTAATAATGAACTGTGGAGCGATGAATAATTTTTCTCTCTCTAAATGTTGACTTTGATTTCAGTTTCCCCACTTTTATATTGATTTATTGTTGTATGAGGGAAACATTACGTATATTTCTTTGTTCCTAACGATTGTAGCACTTGACACACACATACCTGGAAATGAAAAAAAATGTAAAATTATCCATATAATGAAATTATGTGACATTTAAATACATACAGAGAGAAAGTAAGAAAGAGAGAGTGACTGCAAGGGATAATTTCACATTGCATTGAATAAAAAATATCGTGTCCTGGAATGTAAAAAAAAAAGGTTTTGAGTGGGGAGAGAGCAACCAAAGAATGGAATAAACTAGAGCCGAGCTTGTTGCAGAGCAACGACTAGGTCTTCGGTCCTGTTTGACCGAAAGTAACTTTTATTGAAATAAAAAGAAAAATTGACATCTCTAATGATTTAAATCTTCCAAATCTATGTTGATAATTGCAAAAGTAAGCAGTTTTTGCTACTTCCTGTTGGACCGGAAGTGACGTCTACGGATGGAAAATTAAATTTTATACTTACAGTGACAAGAATTTCCAAAACGTTTAAAAAAAGGCAAAAAATATGCATTTTCTGACTCTCTCCATTCTCTCTCACAGGAAGTAACCAATAGGACTTTACTGAAGATTTTACTAAAGATTTTAAACAACTTTGCTTCTTTGATGTATGACAAATTCTTAATACTTTGAAAGATATCTGTAAAAAAAATTCTCTTGATCCCTTAATCTAGGGGTCAGCCCTTTTTCCGAGATATTATGTGAAAGAACTTGTAATTCTACGCAAAGAACCACGAACGATAGTATTGTTCTCCCGCCTACCTCTAAGTCAATTCTTAAAGGTTAACATATTCGAACGATTTTCGAAATTTTTATAGATTTTTATATGAATTTTCATTAAACGTTACTTATTTGGGATACCAAAGAGAGATAACTCTATAATTTTGGTTAAACTTGAGTTTTTCACTGTAGAAATCAACGGAAAACGGAAAATATTTTTAAAACATCTTTCCCCCCGCGAAACAAAAATTCCTTTTTACAGGTAATATGGACTGTCATTTAACAAATTTATGCCAAAGCTTTCTGTGTTTCACGGTGGGGAACATATGTTTATAGTCAAAAAACGAAAAAAATGCCATTTTCACCAATTTTTAAGCTATTTACAACTTAAAAATTGTATATTATTTATTTATATATGTTTTATTTGTTTGCGTAAAACATAAGAAAAGATATGAGATACATTTTATGATATTCAAGACTATTTCAAAATATAGTGATTCTTGAAAGTTCGATTTCACCAGGAAATATCGCCTACCCCCCTTTCTTCAACAGCTGGAATTATGATAATTTACTATCTAGCACTGGAAATAAAATGATTAATCAATTACCATAGAACTGTTCTTTGTATTTAACAAAGATTTAATGGCCAATTAAAATTGAATTTAATGGGTGCAAAATGTAGGCGGGAATCAAGAGTTAGAGTTTGTAGTTCTTTTGATCTATATGTTTTAACAAGATATTCTAATTTAGAAGACAGAAAGGAAAATATGTGCAAATTTTCGCTCTTTTAGGCGTTCTAATTTTTTACCCCTACGCAGCACAGTTAAGGTTAAAGTAAGGAGGCGGGGCCTAATTTGTATAAGAAATGTTTACTGTGACGTCACACATAATATAAGGTATTCAAAATACCACAAAATGAAATTATTTGCTATTTCAAACAGCTGGATAGCTGTATACTACATACAAGCTTACTATTACGTGCAGTTTTGTCGTTTGCTAAATCCCACACAACAGTAAATCAGCGATGCATCGATCGCAATGCACTTGTCAATGTGACGTCATCTTGAAAAAATGGCGCAGTTTGTACACAGTGAGATGCTGATCAAGTCACATTTTGTACGAGGAAAAATGTCTTTTGTTCTCAAATAAAGTATTATTTGCAGTTAAATAAAAGACCGATAACTTGTATATTTTAGTATTTTATTTATAAACTGTTTGTACATTCTCCAGACAAGTGATACTGTCATATGTTTGTATGCAGATTCATTGAAAAAGTAATGGAAGGGCCCAAATAAATCAATTTATTGCAAGGGCATACCCTCAATGTATCTTGTCAAGTTTTTACACATAATCTAAAACAGCATTACGACATTTGAAAAGCGCTGCGAACCTCATGAAATCTTGCAAATTATTTAATTATAGCTATATTTTTTGTAGTTGACCAGCAAAATATACAACCTTCCGTCCAAGAAATTAAATTTTAGCAATTATAAAAGGGAACCTAAATAGATACGCGGTACTTTTCATAAACAACTTATAGTGTTGAAAAGGATCCTAAATTAAACTAAGATTTTTAACTTGGTTTTGCAATATTGGAATTAATAGATGACCTCTAAACTGCAAGTATAATTGCTTAAATCATGTGATATATCGACTTACTGAATTAAAAGGAAAAAATGGATAGGGAGGGGGTTATTACACAGTACGAATAGCACTAGAGTCCTTTTGCCTTTACATCAGATATAATAAATTTCTGTATAGAGAGTATAGAGAGTGTAAGTGATATTGTTTTATAAATTAAACTGCTGAACATGTACTATGATCAAATAATTGGGGACTATATCTTTATCATATTACGGGATGACTTGCTTGGAATTTCTGTATTCCTTGGTGACTGCTCTGCTAACGTAGATCTGGATCTATCTGTCGTTGCTGTAAATCCAATGGAAAAATAAAATGTGTATGTGAAAACAGATGCTCCTAGCATTATAGCAATCAAATAGCATATAGGTAAAGTAAGGCCTTTTCTCATGAAATACAAATGTGAAATATAGAATCCTAGGATCAACTATTCAAAGGTAGTGACCAAGATTTACGTTTTTAAAGGAAGTATAATATCCAGGGTCATGGTCAAAGGGTCAAGAGTGTTGGTTTTTTAAAGAAAAGCCTTGTCCTAAAGATTTCAAATATTGAATCCTAGGATCTTACCATTCAAAAGTCATGAACAAGGTTAAAATTTTTAAAAAAAAATATCCAATAAATAAATAAATAAATAGAAATAAAAAAAACAAACTC